TAAATGTGACCATCGTAGATATTCGGGAAAGAAAACCTAGTTACAAAGGGACTTATACCATTGCCCTTAAGTAAACAATGTTAATAGATGCTATTGCTAATCAGAATTGCCCATTTTCTTGCTACCTAAAGATTAAGTGGTTTTAAAGAACAAATTAAAGTCAAGATTGTCAAATGTAATTAAAGGCATTCTCATTGATCGTACAAATGTGAGTCTTGTTAGATACAGAAACAGACTACATGGTGACAGTTTTAGCAGCTGCAACCAACTTAGTCTGACTTTAGTTCCCTAGCATGGGTTCATCTCCAAAAACACTGTAGTCTACCATTGCTGTAATGCAACCTTCATAGTGTTAGTCACTAGACCCTTTTAAAAAGTGGTGTAATACAAGTTGTAGTGAAGATTCATTCGTTTAGAAATAAAATGATTGGTTGAGATCTCACAGAAACCTTGATGGTCAAACTAGTAATAGAATACAAGTATATCAATTGCAAAATAGTTTATTTGCATTAAAGGTTGAAATATCTTCAATCCTGTGGTGCGCCACATAAATTCTTGAACGGTTCTTCGGACATGGATAAACCCCTGCATCACAATAGGATCTAGCCCTCTCCTTCCATACATATCTGAAGGCTCGTGCCTGAGAATAAAACCTAACTAAGTCCTAATATAGTCCATTAGGGCTGTAGCAGAAGAAAAATAAATGATGACTGCAAAGTTCTTGAAAGGCAAACAGCAACATTGATTATTCCACTGCAGGGTAGTGGGGACAGCAATAATGGTATACGTTATTTTTTAGGGGTTTGGTTGTGTGGTTGGTTGATGTGTGTGTATGAGTGTGTCTGGAGTGTGTGTTTGTCTATACAAATGACTTAAAAAAGGAAGCATTTTGTGAAAACTGAGCTAAGCCACACTCCTGTGAGAAGACTGACTGCTGAGCTAACCAATAGTGCAACTTTACTTGAAACTCAAACGACGAACATATCAGGACAAGATGCAGAGGAGCGGCTCGCCCACTGTCACACCCCCCATGTTGCTTTAATGCTGGTTAGTTAGTATTAGTATACTGTACATATTTAAAGAAGCCACAAACAGTTTGGTGATGTCGCAGAGTGTGTTTTTTCTCTGACAGCAGAGGATAAACACCTGGATCAATCATTGGGGTTTGGTCAGAGGGGAAATGTAAACAAGTTTGAACGCAAGCAGAGCTATAGTTTACTCCCATTTACCATTATAAGCTTAGCAAACACAACTAGACTGAAGTTAAAGACATCTAGTTATTATTCATTAAAACTTTGCACTGCATAATTTAGAAAAGCTATCTAGTTTATCCAGACAGATTAGGCCAGTGGAGTTAGGGTTAAACTAGCTCACCTAGACCTAAAATGTGATCTTAGCTAGCTGATCATGTCACCTTTGAGTAAATTAGCTGCCTAAAATCCTAAAAAACATCTAAAAAATTGTAGAAAAGCGAAAAAGTTAAGTCAAATGAACCAAGGCTAGCTGATTTGGACATTGCCCTACTAGCTAACATTGCCTAAATGAATTGGTTAGCTAGCCTGAAATTCTAAACGTATCTTGCTAATATGCTAATAAGTGGACTTCCTGTTAGATTTACCTACCGTGGTCTGGATAAACAAGCTAGCTAGCCTAACCATTGAATAAGGGAGTCAAGAGTATTTTGTAGAAATACTATTTCAAGATGAAGAATTAACTTTCACCCTAAAGCTGGATAACGTTGTGTTTCAGTTTGTAGCAAGCAGGGCGGGTGCTAAACCACCATACTGTTTCTTGCAGCACCCTCTCCTTCTCATTCTCATGCTCCTCACCTCTGTCTCTCTCTCTCTGTCCCTCCCTCCTCTTCCTCCTTCCCTCCTCTTCCTTGGTTATTTTGAGGAAGAAGCTTATTTTTGCATCCCTTGTGTTTTTCTACTCTATTTTTTTGAAAATGAATTCTAAATGCATGCGTGGGAAACTTCAAAATGATGACTTTAACTTAAATTGCAAATGGCCATGTGAAGGGAAGCCTCTCCTCAGTCCTCCAAAAAAAAAAAAAAGGTTCTTGTCTTCCCCCTCTTCCTTTCACTGTCAGGTTAGGAGACACAGTTAGAGACATACATTATATTATTATTCACTCATATTTTAAATATGCTTGCTTCTTTTAATGCAGGCATGGACATTATGCACTGGTGTAGCCACTTTTCACAGAGCAGACTGTGGTGTGTCACTTTCTGGAGACTCAGTTTCATGAGTCCAGAAATCATTTACTGGGAAGCTTCTAAAGACCAATGTTGTGGTTTTAGTGCTTTTTGGGGAAATTCAATTGTTTTTCCTTGTCACCATTTAAGAACAAAGCCTTATTCTTGTGTCATCTTTCACTTCACTTTTGAAAGTGTTGGGGGTTTATAGCATTGTTGACTGATTGATTTATTGATGAGTTAGTTGATCAATTCATCTGTCCCACAACAGGGATATTGGAATGTGTCCACTGGAAAGATGCAGAGGAAAAAAAGGATGACAGAGACGGAGAGGAGAGAGGCTTCCCTCCAATAATGAATGGGGTTAATGCTATAAAGACTGATGTTGCATATCATTTTATTGTCACTTCACTGGAGAGAGAAAAATATAATAAAAAAGAATCAAGAACTGTATAAAATATATTTAAAATGGAATGTTTATTATTTACCTTTTCTATTTTTGAAACATGTAAAGAAAAAAAAGGTGAAACTGTAATAATTCAACAGCATTTGTGAAAAAGAGACTTATAAAAAAAAACAGTTCTGTTGTTAAAATGTATGAAGGTTTGACTGTGAATGCCGATTTACCCGAGCAATTCTTCTCCTTAACTGATACCATAAATGAAAACCAGTTGAATAATAATTCTAGAAAAAAAATATCATAAAACTACTGGGAAAAGCAAACAAATTCAGTTTAAAGAGAAAACATAGAAAACTTAATAAAAACATTAAAAGCTTATGCCAAAACTTTCCATTTTTGTCCTGTGCCTTTTTTGAAGAACACTTAATTTGTCCTGCAAGAAGATGTCTGATTCAACTTGTCAGTGCTAGTGAATTAATTCCTCAACAATAGTATAAAGGCCCCCAAAATGACAAAGCATTTTTTGCAAAGGTCATGACAGTCAAATGTCTAAGGAACTGTGTCAGCATCATAATTACAGTAGCTCCAATTACCAATTAAATGTACTATTTAAAGAATTGTACTTGTTTGCTCTAAATGTACATACTGAAATACTGTACGGATATGTCTTAACATGACAACAAATAGACAAACAGTTCAGCACTTTACATTTTTTCCTATTATGTTAATATATATTTTAATGTACAAAGTGTTTATGTGCCAAATGGTTTCAAGTTCCTCGCTTTGAAGATTTCAGCATCAAATAATTGGTACACATAGGGCCTCTTTAGCTGTCATTAGCTCCATAAATGATATGACAGATATCCTTTGTAGATATATAGAGAAGTAATTGTCATAAGTGATTTTTCCATTTATGCCATGTCTAAGCCATAAAATCTAAATAATCTGCCAATAAAAAACTGAGTAGCCAAACATGCATGGTAATGGCGTTGGTGGAGGTATTTTGGGGTGTAATAGAATACTTTTGCAGCACAACCAGGGCACACTGGTGAGATCATGGTGTTCAGAGACAGCTAACTAATTTTGCTAACATACTGAACAGTAGAAGATCATTATTATTAGTGTGGTTTAGAGTCCTCCCCATAGTCAAAGACATATAATCCAAAATCCAAAATCAGCTAAATTGATGAGCGGTTAATATTCTTTGCTAAAATACAGATTTTTGTCGACCAGAAATGACGCTGTGTTGGAAAATGGTTGCAATTCAAGTGGATTACGGGCTTTTTTAATTAAATGGCCCCAGCGTAATGAACATGGACATGTTGAAAGGTTGTTACAGCTATCTGCAGCACTACAGAAGGGTCCTATTGGATTGAATATGTGAAAATTGTCCTTTGTAGACCTCACCACATGGGGTCGCTGCTCAGTCAATAATCACACGACTGAAAAAAGACCAGTGCCCTTTATCAGGCTTTTAATTTTAGTGGGCCCACAGAATATATGCATTGTTCCCAAAATATTTATTATAATCAGTCTAAACATTGGTTATATAGGTAAGATGCTAAATGTCCCCAGCAGGCTTGACATATTTTGTCAATTTTGTCAACACAGATAAAGACATGTTGTTATTATCAATCTTATACCTGTGGACCTCTGTTAGCCACACTAAGGGGCATACATTAAAATGTACACCGTGATTAACTTTTCTAAAATGGTATTTCATAGTCTAATACTGTGAATTGTTTTCGGACAAGCTCACTTTTTTTCGAAATGATTTCTGCACACTATACTATTACTTTTAAACATATGTTTTGACATACTATAAAATAAATATTTCCAACACCCATAAACCTTTTGCTTATTGTTTATCATTGATTTCTAGTATACAAAATATTGTACTCATCTGCAATGCAAAGGTATCGTGTTGCTGCACCATAAAATGTTCCCAACTCTGGATCTTAAAGTGTATCTAACCTAATGTCTTCTTCAGTTTTTCACGGTAGATGTTGATTGACCTGTTTCATCTGTCAATCACACGACAGATGTACATTCTCTTTTACTTCAGCTGGGACCAGTTGATCTCTCAAATTCAGACACACCCACCTACCCACACACACACACACACACACACACACACACACACACACACACACACACACACACACACACACACACACACACACACACACACACACACACACTCAATTGTGTCCAAAGTCCTTGCATAGACCTCTGTGCTCCAGGTCATCCTCACTGGGAAAACATGACTACATCTTGTGTTATACAACTCAGAGCCTGATTCCACCCACTCTCAATAGG